TGCCTAATGCGTTATATTTAGTTTGTCAGCTAGACCGCAATCATCCTCTAAATTAGTAGTTTGCATATGTTTGAAAAATAAATGCTGATATGGCGACCAAATTGTGGCCTTTGGTCGGCAACTTTTATTTCCTGTGTGCAGAATTATGATAAGTATCAGAATTTACCTTTGTGCCTGCGAATCTGATATTTGTATCGTGATATCGTGCATCAACGCGTGAAGTCAACCTTCTGTTAGGCCATCAAAGCCACATTTTTGTTCGCCGATTCAGTCACCAAAGCAACACGAAGTTAAGAAGAAAAAGACTCGATCGCTGGGACAATATGTTTATTCGCCTGACATTTCGACATCCGTCGCGGATTCATCATCACAGACATAAACAGTAGCAGAAATGGGTTGCAACACGAAGCATTTATTGTTCATGTTAAAGCTCAACAAATTAAGTTATAGAAGACGTTACAGGCTATCCGCTGATTAGCTAAACGTATTCGTTTTCTACGAAACAACTTCATATATTGTTAAGATATTAAAGACTTGTTGTCGAAACAGATATTTGTGCAACAAATGGAAATAAATTTTGCACACAATAATTTACTACGAATGAATTGTGAAAAAAATTTTTTTTGTATATGGCAAAAAACCGTGAACATTTCAGAACTCGATATAATAAAACAAATATAAGCTACAAAGGCCATTTTAAATACCCTTTGCAACCATATATGGTTATCGGTTGTTCACTGGATTTCTCAGCGTAATAGAGTATCTCACTCACCTCTATAAACTTAACATCATACTGATTGAGAGCTCACATAAGCATCATATGTCACGTGGGGACTAAACAGAAATCTGCTAAATTATTATTAAGTAAAATAGAAATAACGTTTTTATATGATGCAAGATGGACAACAATTGTAACTTAATATTTCGCATTCAAGAGACCACTGTACAAATCCTCGGTGAAAATCTGTTATATAAAGATTATTTGTGACGAAAAAAACGGTGGTTTCACTTTATGCTCAAAATTCAAAACCTGATTATGACACAGTGCTTCAGAAAGTTTGCACGACGTGGCAAAATAGCACATTATTAATGTCTTACTTTTGTTAAATGTTCAAAGTTGTTCCGTGAGTTTGATGTGCTTTATCAGTGAGTGTTTCTTGTTCTCAAATCTTGTAGCAACATCTACCTTTGCTGCCGTGGCACTCAAAGACCAAAGCATCGAGTTTAAATGGAAAACGCCAAAGCAAAGTGAGAACGGACTGCTTGTTGTTCTATCGGGCAGTATAAATAAGGATGAAATTCGCTCTACGGTGGAGGGTTTCGTTGGGAAGCAGAAGGGTGTCTTGAGCAACTTACTTCCTTTGACGGAATATAATACGAGTATTATCAAAGGAATAGTGATAACAACGAAGAAACACATTGCAGCAAACAAATAACAGTTCTAACTTTCCCAAATGGTGAGCAATATTTGAATTGATAACCTGCTTAACCTGTGATATCCTTCTGCGCTATGAGACGACAGGAGAAAGCGCATCATGCAAAGTACTAAGTTAAACTATTTTGAAAATCTCAAATAATTAACAATGTATGCATTATTTAGAGCTGAGCTTCGTAATAATAAGTACACGTACTATGAGGCCTAAACAAGCCTATTACCGTTGATGATTTCCGGCTAGCAAAATTGCGTCTTTAATTTTCGTTCGCAAATATACATTTCTTCCCACATCTGCTATCTAAATCTACTGCTTTTGTTTTATTTAAAACAGCGCCAACAGTGCACGTACACGATGTTGGTGGCAGTGGATCTTGATTAGGTTTGAAGCAATGGCAGGTGCAAATGTTTACGATGTGGTGTTCAGCGCGGAGACATTGGGCTGGTTCGGAAAATTATGCAGTGTCAATGCCACTAACCGAGATATCTTCTGTTTCATCGAGGGACTTAAACGCTCAACAGAGTACACAATTACTGCTATGGCCTGCGTTCAGAAGAAATGTAGCGTGGAATCAGCAGCAATCACTGCAAAAACGCTGAGCGAAAGTAAATCAGTTAAAATTTTACCTTATTATTTTCTAGTTATCGTTGCGTTACAGAATAAATTTGCTGCATTTCTCTGAAAAATATAGTATCAGGATAGTATTTGACCTCTGTGTGTTATTTGTTAAAATAATTGACACACAGTGGACTTAGATGAAAATGTGATACATAGTTTAGTCTTATTAAAAAATATATATATAAGAATTTGCAAAAGCCGGCAGTGTGTAGGTATCGCAAGATCATTTAACTTCCTTTAGGCAAAATAAACGTCCGACGCATTTATGCCTAAGCACCTGGTAATGAACAAAACGAAAGGAAATAATATCCCCTAATATGCAAGCAAATGTAACTGAAAATCCAAATTAATTTTCTGGCTTATTAGCCGCCATCTAGGTAGTAACTCAGCTGAGAGTTTAAAAAGCAGTGTGTGATTTAGGCGCCAAGCAATTGGCTCTATGTGTTGCTGATTTGGTTAGGGAATATCAATATTGGGGAAGGGAAAATCATCAATCGTATACGGGATCCACTTCTGATATTATATATTAGGGCTGATGACAGTTAATAAGCTAGAAAAGGACAGTTTGGTCTATATTTCTTATAGTAATATGAGTCTGCCTGTATTAGAAATAGCGGATATGTGACTGCTGGCCCCCTAAGATAGGAATAAGGCACAGATGACTTATCTACAATATTGCTATATTTAAAATTAATTAAAAATCCAATTTATTGCATTATGATTGACTTCAATATTTTTTATTGTTTTCATTTTGCTGTTATAAATCGAATGTAGATATGTTAACGTAAATGATATGTAATAAGTTTCGTCAAATTCATTTCTATAGCATCTGCTGATAAACGCAATGTCTTAAGCAGGTGGTATTCGGTCCGTTTACCCGCTTAATACTGAAATGCAGTTACATATGCCAGTATCAACTTCCTGCAGTGAAGTACATAATGCACAATAAGCCGTCCTAAATAAATTAAATACATAGTAAGGCATATTTCAACAATTGATACCTTAGAAGTCGTTTAAATATAACTCTGAAATCGTTGTGCACTAGCCGAACAGTCTTTGTTTGTATAACTTGTCACTTTTCCACAGAACCATTAAGGTATCCGCGTAAAAATTTAAACGTATTCTTTAAAAGAACGGATAATTATTTTTGAATTGTCGACGAAAATCCCGGCATTTTCGTGATTGCATCAAACAATAGCACCTCTCCACGTTTGCTTATACAGTCTGAAAACTTTAAGTTTCGTGATATTTACAGTAAAGCCAGGATAACATATTAACCTTAATAAACCACAAGCAGAATACATCAGACGCATACTACTTAATATCATACGGTCAAACGCAAGCATACTTTATGCAACTGAATCCTGTTCATCGCGTTTTATTAACTGGCATGCCGTCTGCAAACAACAGGGTTTGGCATTTGACCAAGTCAACTACAAAATACTTTAATGCACACTGGATTGAAAAACAACTGTACATTATAGAATGATGATCTTACATTTATAACGACCTTCTCTGAATCTCCTTTTTATTTGCACTGAAAAATTTGTTCATCCCATAATTTGCTTCTGTATATTTTGCATTACACTATATGCTAATTTTAAAGATAACAGTAGACAGACAAGCAATAATCTGAACTCGGTTAGTCGGTGAACGGAATTGTATATAGGAGAGTTAGAATTAACACAGCATTAAAAAATGTTGTTGCAACCTTGGCATAAAACCATTCAAAAGGCTACAAGTTACAATCAAACTCAGAAGCACCGGTAGTGGCGGCTTAGCAGCCAACCCAAGGTCAACCGCAGACGTATGGTGCATTTGGCCTAAAAGGACTGCGCGCCCAAAACCGCCTGGGGTCAGGCATTAACTGTCGCTGTCATTGCTGTGACCATGGAATTGGATTTAATTCTTACGAATTCTCAGCTTCTAGCCGAGGCAATTAAAATACCTTAATACATACTGAAATTATGGCAATCAGCAACAATGTTCTACGGAATAACAATATGGAATTTAGAATGGTCTTCTGGAAAGCACAATTTTCCTTGTAATACTTCAAAAAAGTGCCCATATAAGAGTTATGAATAAACGGATAACGTGGACATTGTTATTGCAACCTTTAAGTAAGACCATTCAGAGGCTGCATATGGCAAATAAACTAAAACGACCTTTCGCAAACGGTGCAAAATTTTGCTGTGTCATAGAAAACATTGTTAAGCTTTTGTTAAAATTGATTACTAAATTGAAGTGTTTATGCATACCTATTATATTTGTTAAAACATTATTTTGTGTTTATTATAGATATACCTAAACCGCCCCTCTCCACAATCGCGCCAACCATGACAACAACGACTGTCGGTACGTTGGTTTATAAAGTGCGCATTTTAACAGTGAAATTTTTGTTGTTTAGAGGATATCGTGCGCGCTTGTAAAACATTACTGTAAAGAGCTGGCTGTAGAAGCTTACAGTGTCTAGTCTTCTTCTAAAGAAGATACGATGAGTACAATTTTTATGATCTTTTATAGTGCGACGTTATGAGAAATGTGTCTGCCTAGGGCCAAAAACTGGAACGTCAAAAACTAAGTTACCTGCGTACCGGCTATGCTTAAGCTTCAGGTTCAAACTACAGTACGTGAGATTACTCAAAAAATTCGATTATTTTTATGGGGAAATCCCTACTTCGCAAACGCAGCCTAACCTTTTAGGAAACAACAAATTCTGAAAAATGGGGAAATCGCCCGAAACGGTTTCTCGAGAAATGCTACATAATTCTCCGTTTATGCATTGCTTTATTAACGTTGGACTAGGAAACCGAATTTGCGGCTGATTTTGTCAAAGGACTGGAACAGTTTGTAAGCTCACGTGCGGATATACCGGGCAGTGACAAACAAAATGAATTTAATTGTCAGACTGCATCGTAAACGTACAACGCTATGTAAACTTAAATAACTTTTTGTCCGCAACGTTCCTATATAATTATTTTCGGATTTCGATTGAGACGACGATAACATCGTTCGTGAAATGGCGATGGAAACTTTACGATTTTTATTGGCTTGAATCTATTGACCATGAATGAGGGATATATTTTACGTGCTAACCAGAACCTTCTTAAAGCCTTAAATTAAAAAAATATGTTCTTACACATTCTTTCCCATGCAGTTGTCTCGTTTAGCTCACGGTTTTAGAATCACGCAAACATGTCAGCTTATTGGAGAGAAAACGAACCTCCCCAACAAAAGTCGCAAATGAATGTGTCTAGGATTAATCAAAATAATTTTTTTCATAAATCTACCTCTTGAAAGAATAACCTTAGGTATGTGGGCGTCAAATAGCAGTGCCTTTTTGCCTATTTTGAAGAGTAAGTAAAGGTGAACTTTGGACGTTTCGGCTAGTATATGAACTTCCCGAAAAAGAAGGAAATTCCTCTTCTGCTAAAGAAAACAAATTTTGTGTAACGTTTTCTTCCGTTTAAAGATAAACAAAATGACGAGCAGAGTGGCAGAATATCGGCGATGATTTTTAGAAAAGCGATAATATTCTACCTGTTCCGTTTGCAGTTTTCCCATTAGTTTATTCTGCAATACAGACATAAGGTGTTAGGATGTCTGTTGCCTGTGGGTTGGCAGGGAACACTGAAGAAATGTCTTATTTATTTGTAAATAAGTTTGTTTGCGATCGTCTTTTTCGGTGAGGTTTAACAAATTGCAACTTTGTATGCGTACTGCTTAATTTTCTGCCAAAAAAACTTAACTGGTTTGTAAGCTTGTACGTCCATTTCATGAACGTAATACATATTTGTCTGTTCTGAGAACATATATCTTTGAATGCTGCTGTTTTTTCTGTTAATTTCCTATTATAGTACAATACGCACAAGTAAATTCTCTTCTTCACCGTTTGAAAGCGGAGAGAATTCTTTGGATATCAAAAACGTTGTGTTTGACCACATTCTGCTACCACTGGCTGCCAGTATACTGAACTCTCTTCTAGAAGGGAGCATGTTGTTCCTTAACACAAGTCAGCGAACATAATAAACAACCAACCATGTGTTTTACATTTCTCATTAGCATAGAAGCAAATAAAACAACATTTAGATGAATTTAGGCTTAAAGTATGCACAACAGACAACATTTCACCGATTTGTGGCAGTAGGCAATCAGTGTCGGAAAAAGGTGGAAATAGATAAAGTGCAATATAGATGTAGAAATATGAGGGAGAGAGTCGATTAATGTATGAGTTCTCACACTATATCACCTACTTTATCCTGTTTTTTTAATATTTGCCCTGCATCAAGTGACATCATTTGATGTACTGACAGTTTTCTTGCGTGTGTTTTTGAGGGATTGCGAGTTACCAGTTTTACTACATTAAGCGGCCTTGTCCGGTTGCCTTACGCCAACGCAAAGGATGTTTCGTCATGAATTCTGTGGTTTTATCCTTCCGATGAATAATCCCTCTCAATGTTAAATAGCAAGTTAGGCAAAATGTTATCATAGTTTGCGGTATTAGTAATATCTTGTTTCTTTTTTTAGAAACTACCACTGAGGAAACCGAGTCCACGACCGTTCCCACAGATTCTACGCCCAGTGGTTAGTAGGCATTAAACGCTAGTCTACTTATTGCTAATGTATCCTACTGTATGCGTTCAGTGTGACTATATCCAGAGAGATGTTCAGTTGTCTTTGGTTATCCTAAAGGCCGATTCTTCTTAGTTGGAATTAGCAGCTACCCAATATATGTTTCATGAATTTCGTGGACTGTGCCTTCAGACGAAAAGCTCCTTTCTGTTTTCACGAAATTCATTGTGTGAAATGTGTTGGAATTTTCAGAATTCGCGTTTTACTGTTCCTTTAGAACCATCAACTGAGGTAACAACGTCCACGGCCGTGTCCACTGATACTAGCCTCAATGGTAAGTATAATTATAATGCAAGTATACTAATTGTAATTAAATTCTGCTTATGCATATTTTATTTACTGCATCTTTTCAATATGACTATCGCCGAACAAATGTTTGATCGGCAGACGGTTTATTTAAGGCCGATCATTCCTGGTTGGAAAGTATAATATGCACTGAATAGATTTGAAGCGTTGTGCAGACTATGCTTTCATACGAAAAGCTGTTTTCAGTTTGCACTAAACCCTTTGTAAAGCGTTTTTTTAAGTTTTAGGCGTGCAAAGTATTATTATTTTACTGTTCTTTCAGAGTCATCAACTGAGTCTGCAACGTCCACGGCCGTGCCTACTGATACTGCACATAGCGGTACGTGGGCATTTAACAATTATCTACTAATTGGCATTTGCCATGACTGACATCTGCATCAGGCACCTCTATCCTGCTATTTAATTAGGTATAATGCTAGTATTTAGACAAAGGAGGTGCAGTCTTAAATGACTGTGCACTGGAATTCTTGTCCAGAATACCGACATATTTGTCCATTAAACGAATCAGCTAACTCGTTTCAATAAACTTGAAGTGCAAAAATTATTGCAACTGTAAGCTATGGCGTTACCGATATTACCATTTTCTTGTTCTTTCACAAACATCCTCTGACGGTCTGAAGTCGACGCTCGTGTCCACTGATGCTACCTTCAGCGGTAAGTGCACATCCAACGCTAGTACACTGCGGTTTGTCACGTAAGCTACTTCTCCCTGCACTTTTATTAAGTCTACTGCTTGTGGTTGGGCAAGGCAACTGCAAACTAAGATAACTGCGCACCATAATTTGCCATTGGAACACCGACAAATATGTCCATTCGCGCGTTTACCTATATTTAACTTTATAATGCCCTCAAGATAACTAAAACAGTTCTATATCAAGACAAGACTATATATAATTTAACAATTTCCTATAAGGGCAGAAAGATTTCTATCTTGCCTAATCACGCATTCTGCGATCATTTCTAGCAGATGAATAGTATAAGCAGTTTTGTCAAAGTTATTATGGATCACTTTAATATGCATTCTGATTCGTTTTATCTGGTGGTGTTAAACATTTTCACAATTTAAGGAAGACGGTTGTGCAACACTTATGATAGCATTCATGACATTATCATTCCTTTGCTCTTTCAGAACCTTCCGCTGATGCTGCAATGTACACAATCGTGTCTACTGATATAACGCCTACCGGTAAGTATACATGTTACTAAAAAAACTACCAATTGAAATTTCACAGTTCGCCGTTATTGTATTTTCCTGTATTTTTTTAGAACTTACCACTGAAAACACAGCGTCAACGACCGTTTCCATTGACACTTCGCCCAGTGGTAATTATTCACATAACGCTAGTCTACTAATTGCTAATTTGTCCTGCTTAACTGTTTTCTATTTACTGCAAGGGTTCAAGATGACTATCCCCAACCATATGTTCACTTGTCTCACGTTAACATTAAGGCAGATACGTCGTGGTTTGAAATACTACTTTACCCAATATATGTTTCATGTATTGCTCAGAATGTGCCTTCAGATGGAAGGCTGTTTTGCTATTTTAAGAAGAAAGTTCTGCAGAAATTACGACAGTCCTTGCTATGATTTTGCTATTGTTCTTTCAGACCCATCAAGTGAGACTACGACGTCCACGGCCGAGTCCACAAATACTGCCCACAGTGGTAGGTCGGTATTTAACGCTAGTCTGCTGCTCACTAATTTACACAACTTAAGTATGTTTTACATACTGCATATGTTCAATAAAACTATATCCAGACAAATGTTTAATTTTCTTTCGTTTTCGTGATGGCCGATTGCTCGTGGTTTGAAATACGTTTTTACCCAATACATATTTAATGAATTGCGCAGAGTATGTCTTACCGCGGAAAGCTGCCTAATGCTTTCATGAAATGCGCTAAATGTTAAAGTGTTAAGCTGTCGCGGTATAAGCGTGCTATTGTTGTTTCAGAACCTTCAACCGAGACTACAACGTCCACGGTCGACTCCACTGATAGTACCCCCGGTGGTAAGTAGACATATAAGGCTAGTCTACTTCTTGCTACTTACACATGTTTTATTTATTGCATGCGTTCGAAATGTTAATCGCCAGACGGATAATTATTTTTCAACCATCATCCTGAAAACCAGTTCTTCGTAGATGGGTGTTTTAGTTTACTCTCTACATATTTCATGAATTATGCAGACTCTTCCATCAGAGGGCAATCGGTTTTACAATTTTGCTAAACGGGTTGTACAAAACGTGTGCATCTTTATAACTATCTCATGCGGTGTTATTGCATTGTCCTTTTACTTCAGAACCGTCACAGGAGGCTTCAACGTCCAAGAACGAGTCCACTGATACTATACCTAGCGGTAAATATACATATTATTGTAAACTACCTTTCGCAAATGCACATCACTGTAGTCTGCACAAGGTGCTTAT